ACACTGACGTGGTGGTGGTGTGTTAGTGTGTGTTGTGCTGGTACAAGTGGATCAGACACAGCAGTGCTGCTGGAGTTTTTAAACATTGTGTCCACTCACTGTCCACTCTATTAGACACTCCTACCTTGTCAGTCCACCTTGTAGATGTAAAGTCAGAGACGATAGCTCGTCTGCTGCTGCACAGTTTGTGTTGGTCATCCTCTAGTCCTTCATCAGTGGTCACAGGACGCTGCCCACAGGACGCTGTTGGCTGGATATTTTTGGTTGGTGGACTATTCTCAGTCCAGCAGTGACACTGAGGTGTTTAAAAACTCCAGCAGCACTGCTGTGTCTGATCCACTCAGACCAGCGCAATACACACTAACACACCATCACCGCGTCAGTGTTACTGCAGTGCTGAGAATGATCCACCACCCAAATAGTGCCTGCTCTGTGAGGGTCCATGGGGGTATATGTATGATAAATCATTGCTCTTGCACAAAAACACCGTTTCTCCATTTTTGTTGTGCTTTACTTTTTTGCATTATTTAAAGATAAAAATTAAATATAATATAAAATTTTAATTTAGATAGAATGAACTGAAAAACGAATCCTGTTAAATTAAAATACGTTACAAACCAATCATGTTTTTTTCCTTCTCCTGTAATGTTATCATTTTGGAGATATACATGATTTTGTTCTGCACTTATAAGTTATGAAATAATAATACACTCCAAATGTATTATCTATATGCAATAATAATGTGTCCCAAATGTATCATATATATGTAAGTGCCAGTATGTAATCATTTTGTTTTATTGTAAAATGTAATATAATGGGTTTTATTTTATGTATTTAAAAATAAAACAGATCAGTCTTTATTAGACTGTGTGAAAAATGTCACATTTATTTATAAAACACTCTCCGGCTATATGCCAGAATATATATCTTCAGTGATATCTGTAAATAATGGTATTTATCAGACTCGCTCCAGTGGCTGGATCACATGCCAGGTACCAGGGGTTTTTACTGAACTGGGAAAATCTGCTTTTAGTTACAGCACCAGCGAGCTGGAACTCACTACTGGACACACTAAAGCTCAGCTCGCTGGGTCACTCAGTCATTTTAAACTTCTACTCTCTAACCACCTCCACTCTGCCTCACATTGTTTTACCTGATTCTTTACCATTTTTATCTTATTTTCATTATTTTATTATTTATTTGTTATTTTACCCATTATTATTCATATTCCTGCGATGGACTGGCGACCTGTCCAGGGTGTATCCTGCCTTCCGCCTAATGACAGCTGGGATAGGCTCCAGCACCCCACTGCGACCCAGAAGGATAAGCGGTTTAGATGATGTATGTATGTATGTATGTATTCATGTTCTTATTCTTATTTTAATTATTATTATTTGTCATTTTAATACATTTGTTCATTAGTTTTTTTTTATCTACCTCTTGTTTTATTTTGATTTGATTTGATTTTATGAACCTTTACATTTTATGTATTTTTATTATTATTGTTTCACTTTTTATACTCACCCGATCTGAGTCTTCATTTATTAAAATGACTTTTATTATATGATATGTTCTTACACATTATCAATCCCTTGCTCTGTATTAACTCGGATTGTAAATGAGGGGCACCCTCAATGTTCTCCGAGATTAAATAAAGGTTGATTGATTGATTGATTTATTGATTTCAGTGCTTGTTGATTGAGCTCTCAGCAGACTGGCAAACTGCGTGCAGCTTTTGGAAGACAGGGGGCGACAAACGTCAACGAAACGCTGCCTTCTTATTTTAGCATAGTGAAAGATGCCTTTGCCTAACCGTGCAATCGGAATTGAGGGGTAGAATAACAAGGGGAAGGAGCTTGGTCTTATTAGAGCCTGGTCAGTTTTAGTCGTGGGGAGTCAGCGTCCTGCACGATTTCAAGTATAACACAGCAAATGCAGGTGATCAGCTCATCACTGGGCTATTTATGAGTCAGATCAGGAGGCAAGAGTGGCCTAACATCACACCACCATCAGCCCACATGGTCTACAGCCTTCTTAAACACCGCAGCATTAGTGATCAGGTTTAAGTGGTCAATAAGGTTTTTTTACTGTAGATCATTTTCCTTGGAAAAGAGTGTTTGCTTTGAATATGAAACAGATGAAGACACTGCAAATAAACCAAATGAAGAGATGAAACCAAGTCAACCATAGAAAAAAGCAGCTGCACACGAGCCTAAGGTCACCATACCCAGTGCTCAGTGTGGGCTGGTGGGGTATAAAGCCCCCCAGCATTGGGCTGTGGAGCAGTGTTCTCTGGAGTATGTTGGCAAAGATCTTCAGCCGTTTAATACTGAACAAAGAATTATATACATGTATGCAATTATATACATTTATGGACTGATCTGTCTTTGTGTATCTATATGCAATATGTAGTACAATGCTGATGTTGGAAGAAAACCTCGTATCTCCATTTTTGACATTTTTCAGTTTTTTACATGATTTGAAAGTGTCTGTTGTTCTTTACATTGTCTGTAAATTTCAAGATGAATGGACCGAAAGAAACAGCCCAAAATGACTTGGTAAAACGTCTGGTTCCATTGACTCACATTAAAGCTAAAGTAGGTTTTTTCCTTCTCCTGTAAAGTTATGATTTTGGAGACAGCATGTACGTATATGAATGAAGCACTAATAAAACAGGTACTGGATAAAAAATACACAAAGGGCTCCTTAGTAAGGACAACGGTTCTATGTAGAACCATGAACACTTAAAGAAAAACTTGAATGATCGAATGGTTCTTTGCATGGTGAAACGGTCCTTCAAGTGTTGTATATGGTTCTATATAGAACTTAAAAGGCCTGACATCATAAACAATAGAAGAACCCTTTTTGGTGCTAATATAGAGCCAATTTCAAAAAGGGTCTGTATAGAACCTTATACAGCACATTCCCCATCAATCCGAAGGACGATTTCACCATGCAAAGAACCATTTAATCATGCAGGTGGTTCTTTGAGTGTTCATGGTTCTATATAGAAGCATTGTCTTTACTAAAGAACCTAAGATCACTGCTTATTGCATTAATATTGTTTGTATTTTTATTTGTACTTATTGTTATTATTAGTGTTTTTTGTTGAATATTGTTGTTGCATGTTATATATATATATATATATATATATATATATGTGTCTGTGTGTGTGTGTGTGTGTGTGTGTGTGTTGTGTGTAGACATACATACATGTATAATAACATGCATCAGCAATGTTGAACTATATGTATATATATGTATGTATATATATATATATATGTATATATATGTATGTATATAGTGCATCATTGCTATTGCATGATATCAATTGTGGTCATTACGTTAATGCTTTAGGTGAGGTTATTATGTTATGTATAGCCCACGCGCTGCGGTATATATTTTCAGTCTTAGTTTATTATTAATTTCCAGGCTCGTGATGCTGCTCACGACGTTTTTGCAGACAGGCAAAAAAAGCACCATCTCCGTGATGTGCGTCAGTGCTTTTAACACGGAGCGCATTAATGAGTTTAAATCAGTCTCTCCCTGCCTCTCCACCGCCCCCCCCCCTCACTCCTCACCGTCCCCTCCCCCTTACAGCCCCCCCCTCCCTCCCTCCCTGTTAGAGCAGCAGCGCTGGGAGGCGGATCAGTGCGCCATCGCCCCTCTGCACATTTGCACTCGAGGAGCGAGCGCGAGCCCCAGCCCGCTCCACAGCCTGCACCCTGGACCAGTCCTGCTGGGGCAGAGCGTCCCTCCTGCCCTCCTCCTCCAGCACCTCCAGCGCCGCTACTCCTCCTGCTTTCCCACGTCCAGCCCCCCGGTTCATGGCGCAGGGGCCGCGCAGCCGGCGCGCTTCGACCTCCAGCTTTGGGTGCAGAAACCTCGCTTCGGAGGAACGCAGAGGAGAACCGGGGGAAGCAAAGGAGTCAGGACTTTTCTCCATCCTCAAATCCACCTCTCCATTCTTCTCCAGCCCCTGATGGTGGGATTGGTGGGCTGCATGGTTCCCGGACCCTCCACGCCCCCCTATCCTCACTCCTGGAGGACATTTCCCAACAGCTAGGAGACACCTATGGAATCTGGGGACCAGAATTTTAGGAAAAAGGAGATCTGAAAGCTGTTTACGTCCCTCCTTTTTTTTTCCTCCCGTGTTTTTTTTTCGCTTTCGTTCGTTTAGCACTCGTTCGTTTCTGTTCTCATCATCACCATCACCATCACCATCATCACCACCATCCCACATTTTGCTCGACTTGGTTTTTGGGGACTCTGCTGTAACAGCGTATTCTGGAATCTTCTCGCTCTTTGAGGGGACCTGGAGCTAAACCTCTTCATCCATTCGCTCATCTTTTTCGCTTCTCTGCACGAGCACGCCTCCTTTCATCTTCCCTTCCACACATCCCTTCGCTCTCCCTTCTTCTTCTCACCCTGCTGAGGAGCGATTGTGAGCTCCGGCTCTCCGCCCTCCTCTCCAGCGGCGCTGTCATCTCTGGGCTCAACAATTTGCTCCGCTCTGGTGATTTAAAGCGCGCTAGTTTGGTCAGTTTGGCGCTCCAGGTCCATATTTACCTCCTGGATCGATCAATCAGTCAATCAATCGATCAATCAGTCATCACTGCTTCTGTGTTTCAATGCCACGATCACTGGAAGCTCGCGCTGAGTAGCGGAGCTGCTGCTTTCCCCCCCTCTGGACGAGGACAAGCAGGCAGCTTTCCAGTTATTTGGGGGTTTTGTTTAGAGCTTCGGAGGTTATATAAGACGTGCAGGTGCAAAAATAAGCAACCCCCCTCCTCTCCTCTCCTCTCGCCTCGCCCCCCACCCCCCACCTCCCTCCATTCATTAGCCCAAAGCACCAGCCGTAGAGGCTCGATCAGTTTCTTGGCTCATCGGTCTTTCACCCAAACGCAACCATAAGGCTCCCACCGCCTCCTCTTCCTCCTCTTCCTCCTCCTTCTCCTCCCCCCCTTTCCTCCTCCTCCTCCTCCTCCTCCTCCTCGTCCTCCTCCCGCTTCGCGCTCTCCCGCTTCTTCTTCGGCTCGGCGTGGTCGCGTAAAATCTCCAATATTTATTTCCTGTACGTGAAGAGGAAAGGGGGTCCCCCCTTCGTGCAATGCGGGAACATGGGCGTGTTTGACCGCGGCGTTCAGATGCTGCTGACCACGGTGGGCGCCTTCGCCGCCTTCAGCCTCATGACCATCGCCGTGGGCACGGACTACTGGCTCTACTCCAGAGGAGTGTGCAAGATCAAGACGAGCAACGAGAACGAGACCAGCAAGAAGAACGAAGAAGTCATGACCCACTCCGGCCTGTGGAGGACGTGCTGCCTGGAAGGTAAGAGGCTCTCTACCTCTCTCTCTCTCTCTCTCTCTCTCTCTCTCTCTCTGTACATATATGTTCTCCGGTTTTTTGGTGGTTGGTGGGGAGTGGGAGGGGGGTCCCCTCTCTAAGTTAATGCCCCTGATGACGTTTGTGGTGGTGCTCCGGTCTCAGCACGTGCGCACGTGTTACCGCGTCAGCTGTGAGCGACTCCACATTCAGCACCACGAACAGCGACCGTAACAAGCAGCATCGCCTCCCCACCCGCGACTCCCTCAGAGAGAAGGAGAGGGCAGCGTGTTATAGGTCGGCACTGTGGATGTTAGATGGCATTGCAATTTATTAGAAAGCCCTCATTTGTATGTGAGCTGCAGCCCATCTGTTGATGCACTGCTAGCTCTTCACCGCTGGTCGGTTTCTGACCACAGAGCCGGACAGTGAATAAGCTGATAAACTGTGCAGAAATAGATGGACTTCAGTCTGTAAATGTGCATCTACATAGTGGAGCTATAAGGTAGGCGTTTCTAATAAAGTGGCCAGTTAGTGGAAGTACAAGGTTGGTGTTTCTAATAAAGTGGCCAGTGAGTGGAAGTACAAGGTTGGTGTTTCTAATAAAGTGGCCAGTGTATGAAAGTAGGAGGTAGGTGTTCATAATAAAGTGGCCAGTGAGTGGATGTACAATGTGGGTGTTTCTAATAAAGTGGCCAGTGAGTGGATGTACAAGGTGGGTGTTTCAAATAAAGTGGCCAGTGAGTGAAAGTGCAAGGTAGGTGTTTCTAATAAAGTGGCCAATGAGTGGAAGTGCAAGGTAGGTGTTTCTAATAAAGTGGCCAGAAAGTGGAAGCACATAGTAGCTGTTTCTAATAAAGTGGCCAGTGGGTAGGAGTAGAAGGTGTTTCTAATAAAGTGGCCTGTTAGTGGAAGTACAAGGTAGGTGTTTCTAATAAAGTGGCCAGTGAGTGGAAGCACAGAGTAGATGTTTCTAATAAAGTGGCCAGTGAGTGGAAGCACAAGGTTGGTGTTTCTAATAAAGTGGCCAGTTAGTGGAAGCACAAGGTTAGTGTTTCTACTATAGTGGCCAGTTAGTGGAAGCACAAGGTTGGTGTTTCTAATAAAGTGGCCAGCTAGTGGAAGCACAAGGTTGGTGTTTCTAATAAAGTGGCCAGTGAGTGGAAATAGAAGACAAGTGTTTCTGATAAAGTGGCCAGTTAGCGCCAATGAAAGTCAAGGGTTTGTGAAAAGGGGCCAGTAGGCAAACATAGAAGGAAGGTGTTTCTAATAAAGTGACCAGTGAGCATGCGTAGGCCTATAATTTATTAAGAGACTCTGCATTCAGCACCACGGACAGCAGCAGCAACCTGCAGCATCTTAATGCAAATGAGGAGATGATAGCATAATGGTATATATTATAATTTCAGATGTTAATGATGAAACCACGCAGGCCACACAAGGCTGTCTTGTGCAGGTCAGCAAAGGCACACAATGTTATGGATGCACATTATCGGGCAACATATTCCGGAAACTGTATGATAGTGCCCACTGGTTAAAGCCTCGGTAAGCACTTTAAATATGCTGAGACGTCCATTCCACCATGCATAAAGAAAATACAGGCAAGTGTGCACAAACACCGAGTATTAACCCCTTAAACCTCTTTAAAGGCTCCATCGGCTGGCAAAGACTTCAACTACTCATTCTGATAACTACACAGCAGCTTCATAGCTACTAATTAATGCTCTGTGATTATTGTATGTTGTGTTCTGTCAGGATTTGAAGTTTATAGCCACTTTAAAAGGGAATCCTGCAGATTATACAGGATCTCTCCATAATTCAGTAGTTGAGATGTAAAGTCATTCAGAGTGGTTTGTTGTGAAATGGTTCATTGTAGAGACTCAGATTACCTCACAATGTCCTCTGAGTTTTTATATGGCATGTTGATGATGGTAAAATAGTGCAAAATCTGAAATAATAAGCTTTGTTTTGGGACTATTTTGCCTCACAGTGCCCTGCATGTATCCCTCCACCATGAGTAGATTTTAAAAAAATATGTTTTAGGCCAAAATCTGCTATCAGAGCATTTCACACCAAACCACTCTGAATGGCTCTGTTTACACCTGAACTATTAGAAATTTCACCTCAGGACTGGAGTTGAAAGGGTTAAAGGGGCTTCTTGATGCAACATACGGTGGCTGTCAGGTTCCTGTCATGCTCCAGTGACCGACGTTGACCCTGTGATGTGACCTTGTGAGGTGACAGAGCATTAGATCTCACCTCCGTCCTCAGGAGAAGCAGAGACTTAGCAAGTGAAAATGTCTTGATATCTATCTAGTATATCTAATATTTCACATTATGACACCATAAGAATATTTCGAGGTTATTTAACCCCTTAAAATCTCAGGCTTATTACATACTAAGGCTTATTATTCAGTAACTATAGGGACTTTAATGCAAACTGGCTGAGCTATTCTTAGGTTATAGAAGTGTGTAATAAAACGAAAGAGGTTAATTTATTTCTATACATTTGTAATAATGGTGTAATATATTTAAGGGGTTCATTTAGTTCTGTACATTTGTAATAGTGTGTAAAATACTTAAGGGGTTATTTTAGTTCTATACATTTGTAATAGTGTGTAAAATACTTAAGGGGTTATTTTAGTTCTATACATTTGTAATAGTGTGTAAAATACTTAAGGGGTTATTTTAGTTCTATACATTTGTAATAGTGTGTAAAATACTTAAGGGGTTATTTTAGTTCTATACATTTGTAATAGTGTGTAAAATACTTAAGAGGTTATTTTAGTTCTATACATTTGTAATAGTGTGTAAAATACTTAAGGGGTTCATTTAGTTCTATACATTTGCAATAGTGTGTAAAATACTTAAGGGGTTATTTTAGTTCTATACATTTGTAATAGTGTGTAAAATACTTAAGGGGTTAATTTAGTCCTATACATTTGTAATAGTGTGTAAAATACTTAAGAGGTTATTTTAGTTCTATACATTTGCAATAGTGTGTAAAATACTTAAGAGGTTATTTTAGTTCTATACATTTGTAATAGTGTGTAAAATACTTAAGGGGTTCATTTAGTTCTATACATTTGCAATAGTGTGTAAAATACTTAAGGGGTTATTTTAGTTCTATACATTTGTAATAGTGTGTAAAATACTTAAGGGGTTAATTTAGTCCTATACATTTGTAATAGTGTGTAAAATACTTAAGAGGTTATTTTAGTTCTATACATTTGTAATAGTGTGTAAAATACTTAAGAGGTTATTTTAGTTCTATACATTTGTAATAGTGTGTAAAATACTTAAGGGGTTAATTTAGTCCTATACATTTGTAATAGTGTGTAAAATACTTAAGAGGTTATTTTAGTTCTATACATTTGTAATAGTGTGTAAAATACTTAAGAGGTTATTTTAGTCCTATACATTTGTAATAGTGTGTAAAATACTTAAGGGGTTCATTTAGTTCTATACATTTGTAATAGAGTGTAAAATACTTAAGGGGTTCATTTAGTTCTATACATTTGTAATAGAGTGTAAAATACTTAAGGGGTTCATTTAGTTCTATACATTTGTAATAGTGTGTAAAATACTTAAGAGGTTATTTTAGTTCTATACATTTGTAATAGTGTGTAAAATACTTAAGGGGTTAATTTAGTCCTATACATTTGTAATAGTGTGTAAAATACTTAAGAGGTTATTTTAGTTCTATACATTTGTAATAGTGTGTAAAATACTTAAGAGGTTATTTTAGTTCTATACATTTGTAATAGTGTGTAAAATACTGAAGAGGTTAATTTAGTTCTATACATTTGTAATAGTGTGTAAAATACTTAAGGAGTTAATTTAATTCCATACATTTTGCTGGTGTTTCTAATAAAGTGGCCAGCGAGTTGAACCGGAAGATAAGTGTTTCTGATAAAGTGGCCAGTTAGTGCCAATAGAAGTCAGAGGGGCCAGTGAGTGGAAGTAGAGGGAAGGTGTTTTCTAATAAAGTGACCGGTTAGCATGCGTAGGAGTGTAATTCAGTAAGACACTCTGCGGTCAGCACCACGTGTCCACTTTGTATTTATTTTAAAAAACTCGTAAAAATTTGTCTCTTTCCATTTTTTATGGGTTATATTACTCATTTTATTTGATTATTTCTTAAAATAAGCTGAATTATCCGCATTATTTCTCAAAACCACTGAACGATCTGCCAGTGGAATGAGACACTTTCCCTAGATAAAATTACTTAAAGGGGAACTCCACCAATTAATTCAGTGGCCGGGATGTAAACAAAGTCATTCAGAGTGGTTTGGTGTGAAACGCTTCATTGTAGAGAAACTTACTGACTCAGATGTCTTTACAGTGGTGGTGATAGGAACCAGGGGTCGCCATGACTACAACACAAAAATAGACATTTTATTTACTATCCAAAACCACCAGTGGATCCTACATGTGAGGTTGTTTTTTATGTAATGATGATGATGGTAAAATAATGATTAATCTGATAAAACAGGTTTTCTCTGGGGACTATTTTGCCTTGGAACATGCTTCATGTATCCCTCCACTATGAATGGATTAAACATTTTAGACCAAAACTACAGTGTCTCAGTCATCAGGCAGTGAATTCATAACCATCTCATGTAGTAACTCTCTGTGAGGGAGCTTTTAGAGGTGGACGTCTGGTTCCTATCACCACCACTGTGAACAGTACTGACTCAGTAAGGTTCTCTGGAACAGAGCGTTTCACACCAAACCACTCTGAACGACTCTGTTGACTTGTTAAAGGGGAACTCCACCAATTGTGTAAACTTACTTTTTAGATGGTTTAGATGAATGAATGGTTTAGTCTGTTGTAAGCTAACGGCTAACAGTGATATATGCATGGTGGCTAACGACAGCTAATTTAATTCACTCACGAACGTTTCCTACTTAATTTCCAGTTTCTGCTGTAGTGAAACTGCGGGTGCGTAAATCTCTCCAGTCAGACTGCTCCCCAAAAGACGTGCAGGGCGGAGAGGTACATG